GTTTAGTTTCGAAAGGATGAATTGCGTTTATTTTGATACACCCTGTATATATAGCGCATGCGCTCTGAATTATAACCGGCTACAACCAGTTCTATTTATGCAAGCTTCGCCGGATGATTGGTAGATCTACGAAAGTGGGGGTAATTAATTAGCAGATGTTTCTTTTTCTTCTCAGAAACCTCTGTTCGCGGTGAGCTCAGAAACCTCTGTTCGCGGTGTGCCTTTTTGGGCAGAAAACGGAACTGTTTTACACAGAAGTAATTGGACGTGCATTCCAAAGGTATGAATGAGTTTATTATGCATGAGTTCATATATTTAAGTAAGAAAGGGGTTCTTAATTTGTTTTGCAAGAGGTTATATGTTTTCATCCGCTTTTGTACGTGTTTTTGCTTGTCATGTCAGCAAGATAATCTAAAAAATATCAAACGTATTAACACGAAAATTTGTGGGACTAATGGACATTGTCCAAGGACATATTGATTAAATTTTGGTTAAATTTGGATGAAAAATTAGGAAAAGTTTTTCTTGCTTTGCCCGGAAGATTAGACTGAATGTGTAATTAGTCCATTGTATAATTTATGCTTCATTTAACATAACTTCTTTTTTTTATATAACATAACTTAAAATACTCATTAAAAATTCATAAACCTTGTGGCAAATCATGTCAGCCGTAATATGTCACGTAGAGTGACCATATATCTGATAAAACTCATCTTCAGTAGACGTATTCTTTATATAATTGTTCATCCTAATTAGTATGTAATAGTTCTGTTTCTGGAAACACCTGCACGTAAATTTATTACTGCAAAGCTTTCGATCCGTAAGCCCGGATCTTCATCAGTGCTAACAATATGTATAGCGCATATTATTAGCACTGGTGAAGATCTGGGCTTACGGATCGAAAGCTTGGCAGTAATAAATTTACGTGCAGGTGTTTCCACAAACAAAACTATTATATGTTTTATCGCCATGCAAACTTACAAAGAACTTACTAATTAGTATGATTATATAATTTTTCATCCTAATTAGTGGTCTTTTGTAGTCGTATTTTAAGCTATTCAAAACACTCGTTGTCGTGTTTTATCAGATGTAAAACGCTCGGCTGCGTCTCGCGTTTTATATCTGATAAAACACTCACTCCAACTCGTGTTTCAAATAGTTCATAATTAATTCGCTGGCGGAGGTACTCATATACGTGCAGCCTTCCCAAAGCCAGGGATAAAACCGGCTATGTTTACGACGCGGACGTGAAGAAAAACTGTAACTATTCCCACTGTTTCACTATACGGATAGAAATTATGGCCTCCAGTTGGTAAACAAAGTCAGCGACACAAGTGAAGCAAAATAAAATTGGATTCCAAACATTAGCACCAGTTTTTATGTCACGTCCGCGTCGTCGATTTTTGCATTAAGCTCGCTAATGAGTCAATCCCCGGCTGCGTTCTAAAAAAAATTACATTGATATCGAAGGAACTAGACTCATTTCCGAAATATCACATACTCGAACCGACCTGACCGCGTAGCTCAGTTGGCAGAGCATTGGGCTAGTATTCCAAAGGTCGTAGGTTCGCTTCCCATGTACCGTGGCCAGGCATATTTTTCAAGCTTGTCCGGTGTGGATATACACTCAGAGTAACATCACATACATCATATTCACCTGAATACACAACACCAACACAGAAAAAAAAGGTGATATTAATGCTTACTGAAAGAAACACGGAAGTCTGAAATTAAAATGGTTTTGTTGATGAAAGTTTAGCTTACGTGCCATTCCGTACACATTTCTAAGTTCAATTTGTGCCTTCGACATTTTCTATTCTGTTTAGCAACCGATGATTTCACTTGTTAGTGGTAGCTACAGTCAGTTGCTCTCGGACGAGAAAGACTTAAAGACAGTTAATTTATTGTAGTGTATTTCACGATTTTAATAAGGAGAAGATAGGCAAAAAAACAAACTGTTGCTAAATAAAATGTTATGTTAACACTTTTAATAAAAGGAAATCAATAAAAGTGACAACCTCGCAAGCAAGGGCCTCCAAACCCGCGGCGGGACGGAGACCCTTGTAAAGGCTAGTCACGTTACCTCCTAGATTTTGGGAGGTAAGATAAATTATACCGGGGGAGGGGTGGCTGAGGAGCGGGTTTGTAAATTTCACATATTTTGGGAAATATAAACTAATAAACAAATATTGTTTGATTCTCGTGTAAAAGATATAAACGTTTTATGGCGTTCTGAGGTGGAAAAATTGTGTATTTAACACCTTCATTTTGTTGGTAAATATCGGATTACAACATGGCCACATATACTCAGGTCAAATATCACAAAATGTGTTTTTATTCCGTCGCTGATGGATGCAAGAGAAACACCGAAAAAAGCGCTACTTCAAAAGCACCACTGCAGAAGTATATAGTTCCTCTTGTCGTCTTTGTAAAGCTCTTGTTAACAAAAATCATTGTAAAGTCTTCTAATCAAAACTGTATTAAAGAACGTGGAAAATATTTACGGCAACAATTTGCCTCAAGACAACAGTCTACCGCATATGATATGTCGACGACACCATGTGAAAGAAGGCTTACAAACGCAGCCAACACAATCACGTTCAAGAGCGTGATTATAGAAACGCGAAATCTTTAGAGCAAGAGATCCGTTTAAAACGATGTCTAGAAATATTATTATCATTATTATCTTCTTAAACATCTATTATTATCTTCTTAAACATCTTTACTGACACGGTAGCTAATCAACTATAAAATATTTACAAGGTTTTCGTTGCTTTTCATTAGGCCGTGTAGTTACAAAGAGTATAAAGAAACTCCCATCCACCCTCCCCAGATAATAGCAATAAAATATTCACACTCAAACCCCACCCAAATAAGATAAAAGATAATTCAAGAGTTTTTATTTCTTTCATTGCAAACTTTAGCAGCAGCATAACCGAAAGTACATTTCATTGAATTTGTTTTTGGCTTCGACAATATCAGCTTATTATTATTGCAATTCCTAATTCATATCTTACAGAGTTAGATAATTTGTACATATCCGAAATGTTCTTAGGACATTAATTAGCATGTAAGGGCTTTTGATACATATTTTAGTTGTTGCTCCTTCCTTCTTTCACTTAACGTTTTCCACTCTAGTTTCTTTAAAATATCAATCGAGCGTATTTCATATGGGTGGCCGGTAATTACTCTAACAGCTCGGTTTTGAATCTTCTGAAGCTTCCCTCTTAAATATTCACTACAGTTACCCCAAACCGTTGAGCAGTAATCAAAGTGTTGTTGAACTAGGGCTTGGTAAAGATGTTGAAGAGTTTTGGTTGGAACATAGGGCTTTACACGGCGCAACATGCCAATGCCCTTTGAAGCTTTTTTACTGATGTTGTCAATCTGCTTATCCCAGCACAGATGTTCGTCAACCAATACGCCTAAAGTCTTTTTGGTTTCAACCTCTTTTAATACTTTCCCATCGATAGAAACATTAATAATGTCTTGAGAAAGATTATTCAACCTTTGACGTGTTCCAATGATCATATATTCTGTTTTTTCTACATTTAACGTTAATTTGTTTGAAAGAAGCCAGTAATGAATATTTTCCAATTGACTATTTAAGGCCTCTTCCACATGAATTAAACTAGATGAACGCACTGTAATATTTGTATCATCAGCATACATTGCTGCATGTGAGTTCTCCATACAGTTTGGGAGATCGTTCACATATAACAAAAATAGAAGAGGACTAAGATTTGATCCTTGTGGAGCCCCACAACTTACTTTCTTTGTGTACGATGTTGCATTATTGATAATGCAGAATTGTTTTCTGTTGTGCAAATACGATTTAAATCAGTCTAGGGATTTGTTTCGAATTCCATAAATAACTTTTTAATAAGAATTTTATGATCAACTGTGTCAAATGCTTTGCATAGATCAAGGAAAAGAACACCGTTTATCAACCCAGCATCCATAGTCAGTAGCCATGAATTAGTATTTTCTAAAAGAGCTGTTGTGGTTGAGTGACCTTTTCGAAAACCGGACTGACATGGACTTAGAATATTATTTTTGGTTAAAAATATATTGAGTTGCGAACATGCAAGCTTCTCAAACAGTTTTGCAATTATCGAGAGTATAGAAATAGGTCGATAACAGGCCCGGAGCTACGAGAGAGTGTGGAGAGTGACACTCCCCAGAAATTCTATCCAGTCGCCAGGACTGCTATTCAGTCGGTAGGACTGCTATTCAGTCGGTAGAACTGCTATTTGGGTTAAATATTTTTGTCGCAAAGGGCAAGACCGGGGTCGTAATTTTAGAAAAATTTTTTTGAAAAATGTTCAGAAAAGTGTAGAAAAATGTAGAATATTTGCGATGTCGCAATTAAATTCACCTACAATAATTTGTTCTTTATGTTCACTATCAAGATTCTGAAATAGTGTTTCAATATCGTTTAAGAGTTCGATTCGCGAATTTGGTGGTCTACAAACAGACGTAATTAAAATGGGTTTGGATTTTGGCCTAGTGACTTCGAGACAAACAGTTTCAACATTCGCTGGAATTAAATCTTGCCTATTCATAACATTCAAAACACTGCGATAGTAAATTGCAACACCGCCACCCACACGATTACGGTTTTTAACAATTATTTCATATCCTGGTCTGCTGACAACATCAGTGCTTATCGTTTCATCGAGTCTACTCAGTCGTTAATACTAAGGATGTTGAATGGTTCTTTTTCAAGATATATTTTCAATTCGTCAATGTGCTTGACGAGTGAGGCAATATTTATATGTCCAACTCTAAATCCTTTTAGTGATCGTAGAAAATTTATGTTATTCTCGTTCTCTATCTCTAAATTTTGAAAATTTTCGCTTGCATTAGGGAACGGTCCTCAATAATTAAATCGCTGCTGCTAAAGAATGAGACTCTGTTTAAACTAAAAATGCTGTAGATATCTAACAATATTTTTTGCAAAAATAGATGATCCATATCTATTTAAATGTAAATTAGACCTATGATCCATATCTGTTTAAATGTAAATTAGACCTATTAAACGATGTGCTCGTTATGTTATCGTGTGTAATTAGACCTAAATTAGTTGCAGTACAGTAATCTTCTAAGAGTTTATTTACTTCGATCACTGTTTGTTTAGATTTCTTATTGTCTTCTCGGTTGATCAATTTTGAGATTATTAATTCTGCAACTTCCTTGATTTCTTGACAGCTTCCTTGATTTCTTGACATAAATTGTCGATATCGTTCATTTTTCCGTTGCTTTTCTGGTTTTCCTGTCATTTGTTTCCACATGTAATACAATATGTTATCTGGCTCTCTGTGCAATACAGGTTTAATGTAATCGCTCATGTCAAGGACAGTCGCTTCTGGGAAGCACCTCACCCCGACGTTTTGATTTACCGAATTTGCAAGTTTATGTTGATGTAGGCCTTTGACCATGGAATCTCCCACGATAACAGTCCCTCGCTTTTTCGCCGTGCGAGACTTCCGTTCATCATGTTTTGCCTTGCTGGTTGAGATAATTTCAGGTTGCCTTTCTTCGGTTTCTCCACAGGAAGTATGCAACTCGCCCAAGACACCGAAACTATTTGCGTGACACCACAACGAGATCGATTTATCGCCGTTGACATCGTTGTTTGATATCGCTGTTTTACCCATCTTGTTTGACATCGTTGTTTTGCCCGATTTAACCGTTTTATCAACCATCAACTTTGTTCAACCATCTACTTCTAGAGTGCGTGCGATGTCAGTTCCTTGACTTCTGCCTCTGGTCGCAGAAGGAGTTTGGAATTTAACTGATGACTATAAACTGCGGGACTAGCTAACAGTCGTGGGTAGAATGTCGTGGGTCGTGGGTAGAATGTCGTGGGTAGAATGTCGTGGGTCATGGGTAGAATGTCGTGGGTAGAATGTCGTGGGTCGTGGGTAGAATGTCGTGGGTCGTGGGTAGAATGTCGTGGGTAGAAAGTCGTGGGTCGTGGGTAAAATGCCGTGGGTCGTGGGTAAAAAGTCGTGGGTCGTGGGTAAAAAGTCGTGGGTCGTGGGTAAAAAGTCGTGGGTCGTGGGTAAAAAGTCGTGGGTCACGAGAAAAAAGTCGTGGGTCCCGAAAAAATGCCGTAGGTTCCAAACAAAATATTTCTATATATTTACCTTTCTCCCTTTGGCTTTGGAATGCGTGTTTTTTTTTTCTTCTGAGGCTTTCCCAAATATACATAGTCTTAGAGCGCGTTAAGGCCGGGTTTTCGATATCGGAAGATCGGTTTATAAATATTATAACCAAGTGTGGATATAAAACAGTTCAACTTCACGCCCCATATAGCTAAAATATATGGACGTTATAATCCTATAGACATGTGATATCTATATATATAAGATGTGATTCTTCAATGGCTCAAGGGCCACATGTACGAAAGCTGAATAGTGCTATCCACTAGATATAGTCAAATTTTTATAACCGGTAATACGGTCATTTAATATAACTGTAGGTTACAAAGAAGATCGCCGGTCTGCAAAATAGTGATGCATCGATATCCATATAGGTAATTTTGTTATCGATATTACCGACGTCGTCGTAAACATTACAAGAAAATATATCTCTAGACCAGTGCAACGTACCGATGTTGCTATTATTTAAAACTGCTGAAGTCTATCCTAAAGAATTTATTTAATACTGAGATGTGGAATTGTAACGAAATTGAGAGATCTTTTGGTTTCTGAAATATCGCAAACTACAAACGGAACAAACCTTGCATGTAAACAATGCTACTCGGACTGTTATTAAATGAGCGCTGTGAATTTTCCAAATTCCAACATGCAATTGACTTCGCTGAAACTTGATGCTCAAGAAATATGTAGAAGTATACCTCTCTGTTATCAAACCTACGGTAAAATAATCCGACAAAAGCCTACTGAAAGTTAAGCCCCGTTTACACTACGCTCAATTTTTGGTACGGCACGGATAAAATTGGTACCCGTACCACTTTTTTGGTTCTTGGACTACCTATTTAGGTAGTCCAAGAACCAAAAAGTGGTACGGTACCAAAAATTAAGCGTAGTGTAAACGGGGCTTAAGTCAAAGCATGAATGTTACAAATACTGTATGTGACTGTATATTTGTAACTTATGTTTGACATTAGAAAATACAAACCACATAATAAATTTGACACTAGATTCACTACTGCAACATGGTTAGATACTAAATATGTATTTAAGTGAAATCTCTCAAATGCTTTTTTTTATTTTTCCCTAGTAAAACAGACATTGTATTACAAGTATTACATTAACTGTCCAAGTGAAATTTCTCGCTTATTACTGTAAGAACATCGATCATGACGATCAACTAATTACAGTGAAGCCCTGAATGTCACAATTTAGCTATTTATGGTAGCACTATTTCCTATTGAAGAATTACAATAGTTCGCTTTCTATAAGATTATAACTTCCAAATATTTGAGCCATATGGGGCGTGAAGTTGAACTGTTTCATCCACCCTTGGTTATAATATTTATTAACCGATCTGCCGATATCAAAAACCCGGCCTTAATAACGCGCTCTAAGACTATGTATATTTGGGAAAGTCTCAGAAGAAAAAAACACGCATTCTAAAGGGAGAAAGGTAAATATATAGAAATATTTTGCTTGGAACCCACGGCATTTTCTCAGGACCCACAACTTTTTATTTGGGACTAACGACTTTTTATTTGGGACCCACGACTTTTTATTTGGGACCCACGACTTTTTATTTGGGACCCACGACTTTTTATTTGGGACCCACGACTTTTTATTGGGGACCCACGCCTTTTTACCCACGACCCACGCCTTTTTACCCACGACCCACGCCTTTTTACCCATGACATTTTACCCACGACATTCTACCCACGACCCACGACCCACGACTGTTAGCTAGTCCTGAAAAAAACATTAGTAGTTCAGTTAAAAATGTATCACAAAACAACTTAACAACAAATAACAATGTTTATAGACCTTTAATATTATTAATATTCTTAAATGGAAGCCAAATAAATAGTCTCTTCAACATGTAAATAGACAATTCCCATTATTATAGACAAATTTTAGAACTAGGCAAAGAGATGCGGCAAATAAATCACCACAGCTTGAAAGAGCATACTAAAATAAGTAAATTATTACATTGCAAAGTTTGGTTGCGAAATGTTGTAAAATACGGAAAATATAGCCTTGTAAAGTTTGCAAATTTTGCCGGTATACTTTTGTATTGCATGCGATACAAAACTGCAATACAAAAGTATACAAAATTTGCAAACTTTGGATTGCTATATTTTCCTCATTTTACAACATTTCGCAACCAAACTTTGCAATTTTACTAATTTTAGTATGCTCTTCCCGGGAATATACTTTTTTTGTTAAGATAAAAAATTAGTCTATAATGGGAATTGTCTATAGTCCCCATTATCTATTTTTGTTTCTCTAAATAAAGAGCTAGAGTCGGGAGGGGGGGGGGGGCAAAATTTATGTTCTTGTTTTACGTGTTGGAGGGGGCTTTGAAAATTTTACTTGTCTTAAGAGGGGGCAACGAAAAAATATTATAACTGTAGAGTTTCTCCTCAGTCCCCCCCTGTACAATAAATAATGAGCAGTCCCTTAGGTGGGGGTCATTCATTGAACTGGGGTCGCAGTGTGGAAAATTTGTATTCCACTATCAAGATATTGGCTGCACAATTTTGATGCTTTCTATATATTTACTATTAAACTTTTGAAATCTTGGTTGTGCAATTTCCAAACTTTCCAGTCAGGCTGGGGTCAACTAAAAGATCAATGAAATATCAACACATCTCTTGTAAATTAGTTATCCGACTGTTATAGAAGCCAATGATAAACAATAAGTTTTTGGTTTACAAAACACAAAGAGTGCTCAATACCATATAGATCTAGAGCATAATATAGTTTTTCCTTTTACCTCACCTGACGATTCCTATACAGATGAAACAGACTGTTGTGGTTAAAATTTTGATGGTAAAACGAAAAACTATATATATATATATATATATATATATATCTTGTTTGTCGATGCTGACACGTATCTGAAGAGTGCTCAATGCAGGTAAGATTTTGCAGAGCAAAACTATTATTGGTGTAGACTAAGACATGATATCTGAAGATAATTTAATAAAACCTAAACCTATTTACGATAAAAGTTACTCGAGTTTCACGCACAAGGCGATCATCAGACTAAAGTGCTTTTACGGTGGATTGTAGTTATAAGCGTAAAATTTCCTTTCGTGACAACACTTAGCTATTAATTCTGATCTTTTGTTCAGTAGTGATTGTTTATCTGCATTTAAAATGCAGATTTTCTCGGATAGGCACAAGTTGCATATCTTTCCTCCACTCCTATAAGCATTTGCACGCTTAAGGATTTTCCACTCGATTGCGTAAGCTGTATCGGATTCCTTTAATTCCCAGATGAACTTCGAGAGCGTTGTACTTCCAGCGTGCTCAACATTGTTGAAGGATGATTTGTGGTTTCGGTACCGCGTTTTGAATTCGTTTTCTGTCATTCCTATGTATATTTTAGATGGCTGGTTCGATGGGGTCACTGTAGCTTGGTATACAATGCTCTTTGTCTTGCATGCATTGTTTAATGGGCAGTTATTCTCGTCTTGGCAATTACACTGACTGTTAACATCATTTGTCGGGCTGGGTTTAAGAATTTTAGCATTATGTTGCTTGATTATAGATTCTATATTATCCATGCAGCTATAGCTTACTTTACAGCTATTTCTATTAAAGACTGGCCGTAGCTGGTGGCCTATTGGGAAATGCTTGTCTATTAATTGCAGGAAACGCATGCCGACGTTCGTTCGGACATTCATGCTGTACGGCGGGTTGAACCATAATATATTCCTTCTGCGGTTCCTGCGAGGGGGTGATGGTTGGGAATATTCTAGTTTGCTGGTAAACCCACTACATTGAAGGGCGCTATCGTAGGTGGGGGCTGCTCTAGACGTCACCCTAAATCTATCCAATGGCAAATACGTGCCATATAGGAAACCAGATGACCCGCCATCATACATCAATTCTCAATCGAACCATCCACCTCCCATACTTAAGCAGCTACCATC